AACATAATTACAGTAGTTTCATTTTTAACTCATTACCTGCCAATGACGACTAAAGTCGTCAATTGCATTTTTTTACTGTGTGGGCATCAGAACGAGCCCCCGCACCACAAGAACAAACATCCCAGCTCTAAAGCCGATCTTCATCTGCATACGTCACAAGTCACGTGATCAGGAAGCAGAAAATCCAGGTGTTAGGAGATCGTTTTGGGCCGCTGCTGTAAAAAAAAGTGATGCGTGAACCTGAAAAGCTTCTGCCGATCACAATTCGACAACGGATTACGAAAAAACGGATAACGCTCAAAACGCACGGATTCTTCCTGATGTATGAGGTAATTGCTTTGTTGTTTGTTTTAAAGTTGTTAATTAAAGTTTTTGAAAAAAGCTTCACAGCGACCAGCATCCTGGCATGCGTTGCGATCGATGACGCAATGCTCCCTGTCTCATTTATTTGCACACTTGTGTACTATGCACTCGAACCCTACTGCGCACTTTCTCCAAGCGCACTTTGCTGAAGACCGCAGGGCGCAGTGCGAGTACTGGATTGGGCCTTTGCTGTGTTTTGGAAGTAATGCGCGTAAAAAAAAAATTGACTCAAAACGTAATCATAGTGCCCCTTTGCTTCAGGGACGCATCCAAAATATCACACTTGGCTGTTGGTGGAAAGGAAGTCGTCCACTATAACGGAGACTAATTACCGCATAGTACGTTTCGCAGCTGTTTGGCGCCACTTTCACATCCAGTGGAAAGAAGGTGTGAGTCACACAGCCAGTTGGTCCAACAACTGGGACTAAAGCTTTGTTCCTGATGTCCCCTCGGTTGTTTGGTTAAAGACCACACTTCCTGAACAATTACTCATTTCCATTCAAATGAATGTGACGCAGCTGTCCATAGGAAAATGAAATGATATTAACATCACACAGACTACCTCAACTGCACATAAAGCACTCCAAAATTCTACCCTAGGAATAAATGATTAAGAGAAACAGACAAAAAGTCTAAAATCTGAGTAAAGGATTTCTTGGCTGGTATGGTATTTGGAAAGGAGGAAAACTGTTTTGGTTCATTTATACGATTTGAAATAAATCACATCTGTTTGAAAACTCTTGCCTAGAGTTGAGCCTGAATATCTAACAATCCAGATACTTTTGATTTCACTTTCAAGCTCAACTCTCACTCGGCTTTTATAATCCGAGCGTGTCCAAAGATCGTTACCTTCTTTTCATGAACTCATCAGCTGTCCTGTAAAGTAGGCCAACTTTATAATCAACTGCAACTCAAGTCTAAGTATCTTTAAAGCGATCTTGTTACTGAAACAAGAAGCAGTGTGAACAGCTTAGTAACTCACTTTTTTGGCGCTCTCAGGCCCCGCCTCATCAAAGCAGTACCGTATGATTCGCCAGTCTTTGCAGTACAAGAGGAGCTCTGTGGGGTTGAACTTCAGTTTCTGGTTGGAGCCCAATACCTTCTTCTTTCCCTTCGTATCATTTACTTTAAATTTTAAAAAAAAGAAGATAAAAAAACAGAAAATTTGACTTCACACAACAAACCACGGCATATCAAATGATTCACACCTGTAACAAGTATTAATAACAGTTTCTGTTATGATCACATTTGAATATTTACTGAAAATGCACAAAAAATAGTCTAAAGAAAAAATTCTATGGTACAAGGCTAAATTTCATGTTTAGAAACATAAGCAAACAAATATTTAATTTTTAAAGGGACTACGTGTAGACATCCAGACTCCTCTGAGGGGAAAACATTGTAGGTTGTGTCATTGCCAGGTTAAGTTCACCTGGCTGTAGATCTAGACCTGTGGGATCTCAAAATCAGGCCATTTCGTGATGTTACATCAGTTAACTGTGTGGAACACTGAAAAAACATTTTTACATAATTATTTCTGATTATAATCGGTCACTGAGTTTTTCATGCAGTCTGAGCATGAAAATAGTCTCCTACACCTATCTCCTGCATTAGCTTCTGATGGAAAATAGACGGTGAAACTCTGGGATTTGAAAAGTCTGACAGATCTACGTCACCCTGTCACATAACATCCATGAACTCACCCATCTTGACTCAAGACGGGGAAGGCTTTAGGTTCTAGCATTCATGAAACAGCAGAGAATTTCTCACCTAGTAGAAGCTAACTGTTAGCTTTAGCAACTCCACCACAAAGCAATTTGTGGAGAGGAAACAGAAACATTGCAGAGCAAACTGAGTCAGAGGTAGAGTGGTGTTGCTGTTATCCAATAAGACCTGAGATGTCCAAAGATGATCTCAAAACCCTGCTCTCTTAAGGTCAACTGTGATGTGGCTCACTTTAAATTTCTGGAAACGGTGCACCTGTGTCGTCCATACCACGAGCATGACTTAGAAGGCATTTCCTACTAGAGACCCCTGCAAATGTATTGATTAAACGAGTGCTCAAAACACCTTTAGGCCTATAGAGGACTATCGGGGTTAGTTTATTTTGTGTGACCATCAGAACTCTGATGTAGCGTACTCCATGTTTAACCGGTCCAAAACAAACAGAGCAAAACAAAAACTGCTGTTCCATCATTGTAACACAGCTGATCGTGTTCTGGATGTCTGCTTTTGCTGTGTCAGCAAATAGCATCAGTGATGGGTAAAGAAAACTAATCCAGTCTGAGCTGTCACCAAACACTGACTTCTCTGTGGCATTGCACGCCATCAGATCTCTGACTGGAAAAACAAAACACCAGTCACCTCTCAAAGAGTAACGGGAAGCAGACAAAGACCTCTAACTTCATTATGTATGTCATTTTATTTAGCTAGGATGCTAATGATTTGACATGAAACTCTGGACTATATCCAGATTCTAAATCCTTCAATCTCAAACAAAGAAAATAACAAAATAAAAAGTTTGGTACCTTTACAAATAGTTAATCAGATGTACCTGTTACGACCTGCTCCAGACAGGTCAGAGGGATGTCATGCTCTCCGAGCAGCACGTGAGACAGCTGAGATTTCTATAAAAAGACAAAAAAAAAAAAAAAACATCTAAATACAGCGTTTTTCAAATTAACAACAAATAAAAACTGCATGAAAAAGTGTTACTTTATGTTATTCAAACTGAGCCACAGTCAAGTTTCATTTTGTTTCATGCCAAAAATCTGTCACACAGATGGAAGTGACGTTGGTCCTCTCACTTCTTGTGTGACCGCCAACAAGGGAGTTTTCCTTCCTCTTTGCCCGATCCACTTAAGGTACAAATAAGGTTACGTGTGAACCAATACTTCTTAAAACTGCACATTAATGTAAGTATTATTATTCCTGCAATAATTACAAACTAAAAATGACACTGAATCATAATGTAACTGCTCCAAAGGAATCCACATAAATACCTGCTTGGGTGAGTCATCTTGAGGAATGAAGGAGACCTTAAAGTTGGTGCATATCAGCTTCCCCCAGAGGTCATTCTGGCTGCTCTCAGTGCTGATGCATTTCCTCACAAAGTTTACTTCATTAACCACAATCTCTCCTAGGATCCATCAGATGGGAAAAAAAGAACGAGTTTGAACCTGGGCTGTAATTCTGTAGATTATTAATATGGAATGAGAATTACATTGTAGAGAAAATTGTATAACAAGTGATGGTGGTGGTCAGAGGGACCGGTGGCGCCAGTGCTCGGCAGCCTCGCCTCTGTCAGTGAGCCCCAGGGCAGCTGTGGCTGCATCGTAGCTCATCACCATCAGTGTGTGAATGTGTGTGTGAATGGATGAATGATACACTGTAGTGTAAAGCGCTTTGGATCCTTACTCTGAGAGGCGCTGTACAAGTGCGGGTCATTTATCACAACATGCCCTATAGGTTATAAATTGTAAGTCGCTTTGGATAAAAGCGTCTGCCAAATAAATAAACATAAACATTTAACAAGGACGCTGTTTGTAGATGTAGACAGACAAGGGGCCAACACTTTGTAAACACGTTCTTCACACACTTCCTCTTCAACACTTCTTACGAAACACAAATTCAACAGGTCTGAACAGAAAGTTTAAATTTCCCCTATCATACCAAGTTTTAATTTCTCTTTATATTTTAAGGAACAGAAAAATGGACACACAAAAAAGTCATTAACATGAATTTTCTGTAACAAACAGATAAGGCACCACTCAAGAAGCGGCTTCTTTTTAAAATCTAAATGGTTGTTAAACATGCCGCAAAGACTGAAGAGCTACATGATTGTTGTCTCCATGCTTGCTCGTGAAAATGATTCAGGCTTAAAGAAATGGGGTAGCAGGGTGGAGCCACTTCAAAGCTTTGTGTCTGACATGCCAAACCAGAAGCTGATCATGAAACCTGTTGGGCTGCATGTGAGGCAGGGAAGTGGCAACCTCCACGTCATTCTGTCTGAAACTGCTAACCAATACAGGTCTGTTAAAATGGTCACGCTGAATGAAACCTACTCCGGTACTGTGAATTGGAATAAAAATGTCAAGAGTAACTCTAGAAAAAAAACTTCTCTTTTCAAAAGTTCATTTAGAATTTTGTTTACTTAAAACACAAGAGGATATTTCAGAAAAAAATACAGCCTAGTATGGATTAAACAGGAATATCATAAATTACTGATTGCTGTAAACATAGGAAAGTACCATCTAAAAGCTATATTTACCTGAAAACAACAGGCTATTGTTGTGGTCCCCTCCACCTACTAAACCTGTAGGTGGAGGGGACCAATTACTCTTTTTAAAAGCATTTATGACCACGCCTGACCACTTTAATGTCCCACAGCAGTTTAGCTGGAATTTACATTTATATTTATTTATTAAAACAATGTTTAATTTGGTTTTATTGCTATTGTAGAAATAATCATTTGTACCCATCAGTGGGGTGGACATGGGAAAAAGAGTTGCACATAACATTTCTCTTGTTGGAAAAATTAAAAATGGCTACAAAATACAGGTGACATAAGTTGTTATGTAGATCCTGCAAGCATTAGAAAACTATCGTCATTTATCTGTAGTTGTTTAACAATTTTAAGTAAAAAATAAAAGCTGGAAATATAAATAACAATAATTACATTAACATCAAATTCCACAGCAGAATTATAATCCAGACCATTTTTAAAACTAATTTATTTAGTAAAATTACAGAAAACCTGAATAAAGATGGGTCTATATATTACGGTAGTTCTCAAACACGCATTTATGTACAATTATTTGATCGTTTTAAAATAAGATAATAATGTAATTAATCTGGGTATTAATATGATGTCCTGTGGAATGTCATTATGTCAAATAGCTAGTGTGGCTTTGATTGAATAAAGCATTGTTGTTTGGTTATGTTGTAGTGTAGATTTTTAAAATAATAAAACAAACTGACCTGGAATTAAGACGGGCTCCAGCTTCTTAATAGGTGGGACAACAGTGTTCATCACATCAGTCTAGCAGGAGGAAAAACAAGTGATATCAGAGTTAGGAATGTGCTTTTCCATGACACAGTTAATCAACAGACCCAATAACGAAGGGGTAGAAAATGACCTATCGTGTTTGCTGTGGTGTCCAATAAAAGGCAGTAAATGCACAAAAAGTAGTTTCTATGGGTTAAACTATTGCTAAAAGAACAGACTTGTAGCCAGCTTTTCAGACTTGAGAGTCAGCTGCAGCTACGAGACCCTCACCCTCTTATGATGAGGCTTGGTGAATATTTATTAAAATAAACCTTCATAAAACAAAAATACAGCAAGAAATATGAGACATTAGCTTGGTCAATAAGGTGTCACACATACACTGGAGCAAACCAAAGCCAATCACAACAATCTAAATAACATTGGGCCATTTGGATTTTAAAGGTGCATTATGTAAAAATGAAGTGAAAATTACATCCTCTGGTAAAATGTGGTTACTGCAACCACTTTAAACTCTGCAACTTTTTGTCGACCATTGTCGCTGCAGTACAACTTCGCAGGAGACAGGGTAACCCCACACTCGCTGATGGTAAAAAGTCGTTACGTCCCTCCTTCCTCTGTTTTTGAAGGGAGAAAAACTGACAATCCCCACAGCCAGCTGGATATGAAATGTGTTTCAGTATAACCTTCCTTCCAAAATGACTGAAACATTACTCTTTTTGGATTTTCTCACTATATTCCTGCATACTGCACCTTTAAGAGTTAACGTAAATGACTGATTCGGAGATTCAAGCATTAATCTATATACTTTCATTTTATTGTTACACTTTTTAAACCACTAGAACCACAACATGTTCCAAAACGAATGATCTAAAAATGTTTCATTCTTGCTCAAACAAGCTGCTTTTCATTTGGATTGCTCCACAAACAAACTTGTCCACTGACAATTTTGATTAATACACCAGTAAGCAAAACATGGAAAGGTTGACAAATCCCACCATCTGCTACAAAATTAACTTAAATTTATTAGCCACCTGAAATAAAACAATAATTCATTTAATGATATAAAGCAATGAAGAAATGGCAATATTGTAGACACAAATTTTGAAAGTATAGCAAAAGAGACATTGAAAATAAAAAAAATTCACTGTTGTAATCAAACTGTTTACTCACTAAGTTGTAACCAGTGGGTGAAAGAGCCAGGAGAAGGACTTTTACATATAATTTTGGGTTAAAAAAAAGTATCTAAAGGCTACAATAATAATAAACACAACCAAGCACGTTTTACATCTAGTTCCTCAGAATGAAAAGTGAAGCTGAGTGTTGTAGCGGCTTTAAAGAACACAAATTAAAAATGCATTTGTCAAGCAACTAGTTTGCTTATTAGTCACATGTTGTATTAACTGTGTACCATTTATCATCATCAAAATGTCTATTACATGAATGTATTAAAGAATACTCAACTTCTCATTGAAGCATGTTTTCTAATTAATTAAGTCATTAAAATAATTGTTTAAAATGTCCTGATGGTATGTAATTCTGTTCCTTTTCAGTCATAGAAAGCACTGCAAGTTAATTTGATCTATTCATTTTCTCTGATGCAATATAAACGTACCTGGAGAGAGGGAAGGTAACTCCTGAAAGTTGGTTTCGTAGCTTTGACAGAAAACATTGTTTATTTCCGTTCTGTTGTCGATGTTCATAAAGTTAACAAGTGTTTTTCTGCTGCCAGGAGGGGGGAAAAGTCCAAAAAGCAAGCTGTCAGGAAAGTTTAGCTCAGCCCTTAGCCGAGTTAATCCCAAACGTCTCAGTGTGAAACATTCATCGAGACATTATGGGCGATCGAAGACACTCCTCCATTATGATAGTCAGTCGGTGGCAGCTTGAAAAAGTTGACAGAAGTTAACGCAGAGACGTTGGCGTTAGCTCGGTTAGCTAGCATAAACTACTCCATAAAGTTTGTAAATATCGTGCCGAAAGCAAAGTTACAACTGTAAAATAAGTCTGAAATGTCAGCGAATGGCCTACATTTTCTTTACACCTGTTCCTACACAAGTTACCCCCACTTACTTCCTCAAACTCCAACTAATTCAAGTATCGCAGTACCTGACGCTGCCAAAGGACTGAACGGCCATCATGGGAGCGGAGATCCCGCCCCGTTTCCGGGCTCTACTGTTGCTGTCTGCTGACTACATGAACTAGATTCCCGATGAGTTAAAAACACATGGCGATTAAACCCTTTGTCCTTTTAAACACAAAACCAATAACGTTCAGAGTGTGCGTTATAGTAAATTGGAAGGAATGTCTAATTTAAAGTTTAAACTGCACGTTTTGGTATATTTATGTCGATGTTTGGCACTCGTGAAGATTACCGCCTGCGGACTACAAATCCCATCACTCATTGATTAGATTACCTCGGACGTTCAGAACCTTGTTTTTTCTCTCTCTCTTCTCTTTTATCTTCATTTTTTCTCAATACCCAATCTTAGTTTTTCCAAATTCCGGGAAAACAACATGTAATAGCTAAACTAGATTTATTTATTTATTTATTTATTTATTTATTTATTTATTTATTTATTTATTTATTTATTTATTTATTTTGCATTGACCATATCTCCTAACTGGATTTTGGGAAAAGCGTCTTCTAAAGTTTTTACTGGAATGCTACTTGACAACTGACCATGCTGTTTCATGGATAAGTGTGATTTACTCTCATAACCAGCTAAGCAGTTTAAAGTGTTTTTAGTTTTTTTACAAGCCTGACATTTTTATTTGGAAACATTCACTCATCAAAAAAATCCTTACAATGAACAAGCCATAATAACGCATACGCAAGACCAATTTCACGAAGCTTGTCACAATGCATACTTTGGGCTGTGTTCTCTAATTATGAAAAAAAAAAGCTTATGGCCAGTTCAGTATTTCAAGCATTGGGGAATTTTGGCTTTTACGCTGATTAAAATACTTTTTGATTTCTTTTATCTTTTATTCTTTGCAATTGTTACTAGAGTATTTGCACATATTATTAATTTCAAATTTTAAAGTTTGGGCAGCAAAATCTGTTTTAAATGTGCTTCCTATAAGATTGATTGCCTGAATCATTAGAGCCATTGATTTAATGACTGAAAATACATATGGGATTACAAGCAATAAGCAACCGAAGGTGTTTTGTTAACTGACAACAACAAAAAAAACCATTCAGGCATGAAAATATAAAATTAATATTGTTCATAGATTAGCAACATCAATGAAAATATGCGCTGTTTTACCAGACGTACTCCTACTTTTAGCTACTTTTTAATTTAACTGATGCATTACTTTGATCAATTTAGACAACTGATATTTCAGGTGATTTGTGCAACGTGAGTTATTGCCCACAAGGTGGAGACAAAACTAGATTATTAAAAAACCCATGAATACTGTAGTTTGTGACATTTGCTAGCCTGGCCTGACAGCCTGTCTATTATGCTCAGAGGACGAGCATCGGCATGGCTGGTGAGGCTAAACACTTGTGGGATTGTTTTATTTTATTAGGCCCGAGCAGTGAAGCTGCGAAGGCCTGTTGTATCTGCTCCGTTTATTTTTTTTCCTTCCGCATCTTTGAATGGCCTTTAGGGGGTCTTAGCATATCCAAAAAGTCACCAAATTCTGGCCCAATATAGAAAGTGCGTGAAATTTACGTATTTCACTGGCAATGTGAAAGTTGGTAAAAAAAAAATGTTTCGACAGCGCCCCCTGGAAAATTAAAAATACCCCTCCGCTTTGACCTTTTTTATAGTAGAGTGATGAAATTTGGTACACTTGTAGATCTCAACAATACGCACAGAAAAGCCTCTTGCACCCACGGTCAATATCAAACAGGAAGTCGGCCATTTTGGACTAAAGTAGCGATTTTGACCCCGTTTTGGCCATTTCTAGGGTCTATATTTGGTTGAACAGTTTGGTCATTTTTCGCACGATCGTCTCAAAAATAGTGTGAGATCGAACAAAAGCAATGGACGATTCAAATGAGAAAATAAAATTGACTTTTCGTAAATACTGAAGGGGCGGGGCCAGGCCTAAATGTTCGAGCACTTGCCAAAAAAATTCTAATTGCTATAATTTCATAAATGAAAGAATTACAGTTAAAAAAAATTTCTATGGACAATCGTCATTGCCCCCCGAAGACAAATGAATTGTCGATTGATGATGTCACACAAGCCCCGCCCCCTCAGGACTTAAAAGGTCAAGTTTTACTGGGAAATTTTCCAAAATTCGCCCTTTCGAATAATCACCACAAATTTGTAGCAGCTAACTGAAGACAAGTTGGGGTTGCTTGGCGTCACTTTATGGGAGTTTTCTCCAGAAGGTGGGGCTGTGGGGGTGCGGCGAAGTCAGGCGTACCGCCGTGGCCATATATTTGCCTCCCATTTGGTCATTTCTAAAGATATCTACACAAAACTTCTTGTGAGTGATCCTAGTCCAGCCCCCTAAAAAATTTGATTCAAAATCCGGTGGGCGTAGCCTATTTTCTGAAATAGCGCCCCCTAGGACCATTAAAACTGTCAGCCCCAAGCCATGCTTTGACTGAGGATTACGAAATTTGGTACACTAATGTGGTGTCTCAGGACCTACAAAAAAGTCTCTTAGATCCAGCGCAAAGTAGCACAGGAAGTCGGCTATTTTGGTCCAAGTATTCGATTTAGTGGTTTTCGCACACGTTGTTTGGAAAGTGATGCTCCATCGTCCTTTTCACCAGTCGCCTTCAAACTTCTGCTATATACTCTTAAGATATAGAGGGTGCGGACGGAGGGCGAGTAGTTTCGCTGCAAGGGCCTTACGACGCTGCTTGCAGCTTTCATTTTATTATTTTATTATTTTATTTACTGAATGCTTCATTTGAAATATTTCAAGTGTTTTATTAAAAAGCATATGAATTTATTTGATTTTGTCTTAAATCTTAATGGAACAAACCAATTGTTCACAATACTGAAGAGAACTGCTCAATAATAATAATCAAGCTGTCTTAATTGGACCTTTGCTGCATAAAGATCTAATAACCTCACATACAACACCTACAAGTGGACTTCTTTGGTGATTTAGATTTAGAAACGGATCCATAGATCCGTAAAAGCTATTCAATGACACATTTCATGCTTTTTGCTACTTTTTATTTGACTGATACAATTACTTGATCTATTTAGACAACTGATTTTCAAGTGAGTTAAAGTAAATTATTAATTAAACGGATTGTTGACTTGTAAAATTACATTTGTATATACATTTAAAGTGTGTAAAAAACTTAAATACATTATTTTTTTGCTTTTATTAAAATTTTTAGCATTTATTGTACAGCTAAATTGAGACATGCCTCTTTTACGTTGTCAGGAGCTTCTGAAGTGTCGCGCATGCTCAGTTGCTTCCATCCTTTGCGCCTAATGAATATTTAAGTACCCTGCGTTGCTCGGGGGCTTTTGATTCGATCACCTGGCTGTTTTTCATGTGTGACGTCAGAGCTGATGTTTGAGCTTTGCTCCTCGCGAGCTCCCTGGCCTGTAGGAGCTCTTCTACGCTGCTGTCAGTGTGGGACTCCGTTCTGGCTCCACGATGAACGGAGGACGCTGCTGAGAGGAGCTGCATCCATGCTGCCCGGGTCTAATTGGGAGGATCTTCTGTAATCTTGGATTTTATTTATTTTTCCTGGGTTTCAAGTCGAATAAGTGGGAGTTTTTTTATATTGTTTATCAGCACGAACTTCACCGGAGGTTCGAAGAAATACTGGCTCGTGGGAATACCGACTGGGAAGACTGGTGAAATTAGAGGATGGTGAGTGTTACATTACCGCTTGTTAGGAGTAGTTTATCATTATAAACCAAATATACTCTCCAGAGCAACTGTGCTGCATACAATACCCAAAAAAACATACATAGGTTCAAACTAGTGAAATAAAATGCGGTCAGTTATAAAACATGAATTTAGATTTGCCTTTTTATACTTTTAATCATAGACATTTAAAAATATCTACATTGTTATTTTTTATTTTAAATACATTTTTTGTAGTTTTTGTGTAAAAATTATTCAATTTTCATCATCTTTCTGACTTTCCAAGGTGATACTCTTAAAAACATTAGTCAGGTTCATTAGTGCTCCCATAATAAAACCTGTTAATCAGCAGATGCATCAGGTGGAGTGTGTACAGTATGTGCAGCTTATTGAATGTCAGCTCTTTACCTAGGGACAGGTTTTTCCTGGTTTTTCCTGCTGCAGACACACCTAGCTATGAGGCTGTACAGCTTCATCAGTGTGTTTTAGCAACAATCCCACAATCCCCTGTTGTCTTTTACCACTTGTCTTCCATAGTGGCGTCTCTCCAGTCAGATCAGAGGGTGTGTAAGATCACATGAGTCTTAAGTTTGCTTCCATGACATATTCAAAACATTTAAATTCCTGACCTAGTTCCATAGCCCAGGTGGTGCTCGAGGACATTTTAAAACCTGTAGTTTTTGTCACAAGATTTAAAACATATGTGACTGAAACCTGTTTGACCCCATGTTGAACCTGAAGGTCAGGTTGCCCAGAGGAAAAACACAACCGCAACAAAAGCTGAATATATGATCAACTTAAATACTTACTTAACCTGAAACAACACAAATCAAAAAGACTCTGTATACATCTGCAACTTAAACTTGTGTGTAGTTATTAGTACTCATTTCATACTTTGTGTGTGTGTGTGTGTGTGTGTGTGTGTGTGTGTGTACTTGTCTTTAGTGGAAAATTTTTAACTTTTAACCTGTAGTATGTGGACATTTGGCTGGTCTACACAATAACAAAATACCCTTCAATGTGGTTTTAGAGGTATGGTGTGAATTCACCTCTGGAGGTTTCTTTCTGTTAAAAGGAAGTTTTCCTCTCCACTGTCGCTACATGCTTGCTTAGCATGATGATTGGTGTAAAGTCACTGACCTGATGCAATCTGCTGGGTTTCTTATGTAGGAAGCTTTAAAATGATTGGCACAATGAAATGAAATAAACTGGAATATTTTACTTTGTGAAGTGTCTTGTCGAGATTTGGGGCTGTATAAATAAACCGAGTTGAATACCGTAGATGTTGCACTGTGAACAGAAATCCCCTAACAAATTGGCAACTGAAAGGTACTAAATTATATGAATTTATACTAAAATGGGAGTCATGTTTCAAGCTTCTCAGGAAATATTTTGCCTTTCTTAGAATGGAAGGAGTGTATTAGCTCACACAGACAGTAGAACAAGAAGAGTCTGACTGTCGTCATAACAGTCTGGAACAGTAGACACTAGCATCTCTCACTACTTCCTATTTTGCCAGATGCTAAAAAGCCAGTTAGCTTGACAGCAGATAGTCTGCATTAGTGTCTCCAACAGAGACGTGCACACTCAGTAACTCCTCCGCCCCCCTCTGGACTCTAGGCTTGTGCTCCTTTTTCTGCTGCGGAGATTTCCTCTGGAATTCATTCTGAAAACAGGATGAACACCCATTCTGGACCTGGGGAACTCGTTAGACTTGTTGCTGTAGTTCAGAACACCCACTCACCTCTCAATCAACTCCTTGCGCATTATTCGTATCTGCAGTAAGGATTTCACTCACGAGTGTTTACCAACGTCATCATGCCACTTGCTGTGGATGAAAGAAACTCTTAATTACTTCAAATTAATTAAATTTTTTTATCCTCAGTGGTTGTTTTGAAATAATTGTAAACAGATTTAATTCAATTCAATTCAAAGATACTTTATTAATCCCAGAGGTAAATTAGAGTTCCAGTGCACACAATTCTGAGATCAGACATACATACATCGGCATAGACACATGACAAGAATTGGTGACTGTGGTCATACGCAACCCGAGTCGCGCTACCTTAAAGGCACCACCTCACCCCTGCCACGTAGACCTCAAGGCATGAACCATCCATCCTGCTCAATGGTCAACTTTCCTCGCGGGGTCGCACCCATTAGGACAGTGGGAGGGTTAAATACACAAGTAAAATTAGACGTAAGAATAAGATAAAAAGGCTTAGTTAAATGCTGAGCAGGTACAGTGCAGAAGGCGCAGCCTTAATACTAAGTTGCTGTCTCACTAACATCGGAGTAAACTACTTCCTGCTCATATGTGCCTCATGATGAGGTCTAATCAGTTTTGCCATCCATTAAATAGCAAATTGCACCTCTTATTTATGATGAATAAGTTGTCATAGATTCTACCGAGTTGCCATAGCCCTGCAGTAGATGTTTGTTTTGATGCTTGTTTATCTGTATTCCATGGTCTTGGATCATGAACCAACCAGTCTCCAGTCCTAACCGCAGATTTGCATGATTCACTTTCCCGGGTGAGAAACAAGATCAGGTTATTTACTGTGTAAGCCTCCTGTTTACACACAGGAGTGTGTTCATTCTAATAGTTTGGGCGATGATGGTAGAAGAGTTAAGTGCCCGCCCCATAACTGTTAGGTTGCAGGTACGAGCCCTGCTCAGTCCGTAGCAGTCGTGTTCTTGGGCAAGACACTTAACCCATGATGCCTGCTGGTGGGACCTTTGCGCCAGTGTTCTACAGCCTCCCTTCCATCAGTGAGCCCCAAGGCAGCTGTGGCTACATTGCAGTTCATAACCACCAGCGTGTGAATGTGTGTGTGTGTGTGTGCATGGGTGAATTACTGTTTGTGTTTTAAAGCATCTTGGGGGGTCATAGTACTCTGGAAGCTATATAAATAAAGGTCGTTTACGATTTACTTAGTTAAAGACTCAGCCTCAGACCTGTCCAGCAGGAAAAAAGGACATAGGATTTTTGATTATAGCTGCTGAATTAGCCTCATTCTCATTGCAGCCCACCTGTACTGATTCTGGCTGTATTTGGTGTGAAAACACCTTGATCACAAACATTTCAGAGATTTCCAAAAACGAAAGCTTTGCTGAAAAGATTAATGGATAATCTAAATATTTTGGACTCCTTTTTCAGATCATTTTTTAGCAGAGTGAATTACTCAAGAAGAGTTCAAGCATCTTTTTTTGATGAGTGATTATCGGATGGAGCGAGAGATGCAGCTTTTTGGTTTGTAGTGGTGAAGAAGCTGAGTTGAATGAAAACAAGCCCTTCGGGCCCGTCTTCGTTCCAAACCACACCTGTAGTGATGAGATTTGAATTGTGCAGCTGAAGTGAGCTTCCTCTGAAGGAGGGGTTTGGTTAGATGAGGTGGAGTTGCTTTCTCTGTATGAAAAAGGTCAGCTGAGGTGGCTTAAGCATGTGATTTGGGTGCCTCCTAGTTCTGGAGGTATTCAGGGCATGTCCCCACTGGGAGGAGAACCAGGGCCGACCCAGAAGACTCTGGAGGGATTATATTTCTTCTCAGGTCTGGGAACGCCGTGCTGTCCCACCACCTTGGATAAGCATTTTAAAAATGTTATTTAATCTCAGTCTGCCTTGGTACTAGTAAAGTGAAGCATACTGTTTCACAATATTCCCTAAAGTCTTGGATTTTAGAGGTTTAATTCAGCCCCATAGATGATAAACCATCACACATAGAGTTGCTTTTAGTTTTGGGAAGATGAACAAAATTACTTTCAAAGGCAATAGTTTCCTCTTTTTTTAAATACAATTTTAAGTTTAAAATCTAAAATATCGCATTAAAATCCTGTTATCTCTGCATAATGGTGGATCAAATCATGTGGGAACAGTTAAAAAAAACCAGCAGACAGTGACAGATGAGGAACAAGATAAGTCAGAACTTAAAAAAAGGTTGTTTGTTTCTTTTAAGGTCAGAATTAGCTGGTTGGAGTTTTTCTGGCAGCTGGCTGAGCTGAGTATTTGTACTCATAGCTTATTTTTAGTTATTCTGTTAGATGATTTCAAGTATTTGTAAGAGCAAAAATGAATCGATTATTGTTTGTTATTTAGAAACGTCTTTCTTTTTTACGATTGTGTTGCCGTAAATGTTGTCAGATCAAATTTAATTACAACCTGCTGACAGACGGTTCAGACGCTCTTAAGACACAAACGCTCACTGGTTTTAGCCTCACTGTAAAAGTGAATGAATCTGATTAAAGGGAAAAATGAATTGACATTCCTTCATATCCTTTATAATATTGCACATTTCATCAGACATGTTTCAGTTGGACTAATTCCTCTATTTTTACGTGATGTTCTGTGCAAGCTGCATGAATTTAATCACCCCACATTATGACGGCGTTCTCATTTGTGTAGCTGATCGTTAGAGCAATCAAACCTGAATATGCGTGCACCACACCCTGAGAACTACTGGAAGAGAACAATACTGGAACTCCTTACAGGCATTCTATGCAGCTTTTTCATATTTTTAAACTCTTGTCTCTAAACAGTATGTGCTAAAACAACCCTTTACAGGGTTAATGAAAGGTTAATCAGACCCCCACCGCCTGCGCTGGCCAGAATACCGCACTTGCAACATCAGAGTGCCGGTCCAATCCCTGTTGGACATAGAAAAAATGGAGCTGGCAGTGCTGCAGTCTGCTTTCAGCATGTTTCTTGCATGTTTTTAAGTTGTGAATCACCCCTGTAGACGCTAATGAAGGCTGAGGAGACATTTCAGCAGTTAGATTAAGGTGTTAAAAAGATGATCACACAGCGAGCAGATAAGTTTTACTTTTGGTTTTACTAACTGGACACTAGGGGGTGCTGAAAGCCAGCCTAATTTCCCTTTAAAACCGGTCCAGAGTTTTATTTTAGTTGCATAAAGAATTTTTATTCTACATTTGGTGGCATAAAGAAAATAAACTTGTTGATCTCAGATGCACCACGTCTGCGTTGAGTGACTAGATAAATCTTT